CATGTAATGAGTCTTATCTCATATATTAGTTTCAACTTTTAAGTTGCATTACTGAAATAAATGAACTTTTGCACGATATTCTGATTTTTTGAGTTTTACCTGTATTCTCATATTACATATGATATCCAATTCAGATTGCCTCATTATTTGGGTTTAATAGCCCTCTGTTTGCTAATCAATGCATTATCTCTAATCAATGAATTATTCTTAAAAGTTGGAATAATGATGTGAGACCATATTATTTAGCTTGATTGATTGATTGATTGCCCATTTTACAATCCAAAGCAACTCTGGGTAGTGTATACATTTATAATCTTGGATTTCAGATTTCTATTTGCTTTCAGTTTCTGCAGAGACTCTTTTTTATATAAGGGACTGATAAATATTATTTTAGCTCCCCAAGATTTAATGATATGTTTAAAAGCTAGTCTGTATATTTATATGCAGTATAACATGTTTGTATTAATTATTTTAATTTCTGTTAGTGTGTATTTATTTCTATTTTGTTACCCTTACCATTTCCACACATAGCATCCTTGAAGAAAATAATACAAGGGGATGAGTTCTTGAATGCTTCCATTACTTCCTCATCAATCACACATGATGAAGCAATTGAGACAGGTAGTGTTTTGGGGGTTCCAGAGTTGATCTCAGACTCTCTTTGCAATGAGAAATCAGTGACAAATAGCCAAAATTGCCTTTGGTCTGGAGAAGTACTGCCCATTTCCTAGGGTTGAAAGGAAAAAAAATAATTAATTATATGTTAAAGTTCAAGAAAAATATTTTCTAACCAGCATAAAATTAAAGACAGATAAAAGAATAAAGAAGCAGATGAAAACTTCAATTTAGCTAACAGCATTTTAATCAGAGTGCAATCAATGATACAGAGCATGCAGCCTATTGAAGTTCAGAGAAAAAAAATTGCCAAACTTTTATGGCACAATTTTATTCTATTTAGAGTGATTTTAAGATAATGGCTGCATATCATTTCTCTTCCTCCCATATCTTACCCTTAATCGCCACCACCCAAGCTCAAAATATTGGCTAAAAATTTCTATTCTTTCAGGTGACATATAGAATCACTAGATCTTTTGTAAATCTTCAGAAAATCAGGAGGTGATTATGATTGGACTCCAGCTACAGTATAAACAGAAAGACATCCAGGTCCTGTATATATGCTGAGATAAAATCAATGATCATCATTGCTGCCTACTGATTGTAATAAATCAACAATGTGATATGATTAGATTTGAAACTTAGAAAGTAAAAGGGTGGGTGCTGCACCATATTCAAAGTTAGTAAATGGGTAATTTTCATTTAACAACCACAACTGGGACCACTCTTTTTATTATGGCATGTAGTCATTAAGTGAGATATCAAATGACTGTGAGGGATTTGCAATCTTACTTCTACCATAATCATTAAGAGAATCTCTCACAGTCATTAAGCAAGACATCACAGGTTTTTAAGAAGAGATTTGAGAATCATTTGTCTGAAATATTACATGGAAATATTACAGGGGGTAGACTAGAAGACCTCCAAGGTCTCTTCCAACTCTGTTTTTCTGTTAACTGCAATTTTACTGCCAGGCTTTCATTTGACTCTGCTTGTTGAAAGCCAGCTGTAAAGTGTGCAAATGACAATAACATGACCACGAAACATTATCATCATTGTAAATACCTGCTGGTTGTAAAACACCTGAATTTTAATCATGTGGGACTGTAGGGATAACGCAATAGTCATAAATGCAAGGACTGGTCATAAAGTCATTTTTTAAGTATACCTCCGAATAGTTGCTAAAGAGGGCAATTGTTAAGTGATGTCTACCTGTAGCAATTCGACACATTAAACCATTGCAACCCATCTTACTGGTCAAAGTGAAAGTTCCTATAGTGCAGGTATGATTTGCAGCTCTGTGAGTCCCCTTTTGCAATTTCCAGAATCAACTCTACTATATGGGTTGAAAGTAAGTAAACTTTTGAAGTGAAAAATACCAATAAAACCTGTAAGTTGTAGGTTTTCCCACCTTCTTTTGTTAGTTTTATATCTTGCTTTTCCTCCAAGAATGCAATGCAGCATACATGGTACTCTTTTTTCCAATTTTATTTGAATAACAATTATTTAAAGTAAGTTGGGCTGAATAGTGACTGGTAGTCATCCAGTCAAATTCTATGGTTGAAGATAGATTTGAACATCAATCTCACAGACTTGTTCCAATTCTCTAAGACAAATTCTGAGCTTACCCAATTTACCTCATCTTTCCACACATAGAGGTTTTGGCCACTAAAAAGCATTAAGTCCTGTCTCCAACTATGAATAGTTCACCCTTAATTGAGGTTTAAATATAAATGTTTTTCTTTGCTTTTCAAATAAGTCACTTTGAGGATTTCATAATTATTAAGCAATTCAAACATACTATATGATGTGATACCTTTGACTAGTATTATTTTGAAATTTTAAACAATTATTATGTGTATGTGTTTTTCTTTGAATTAAAAAAAAATACCAGAAGCATTAGTCTTATAATGTGTAATGTGCTCCATTTTCTTGATAGAAACTCTATAGATATAAACATGGAAGTTTTCTTCCTTGATAAATTTCGACATTTTTCAAGGATGTATACAAACTAAATGATTCATAAAAGGTAACAGGAGAAACAAAAACATCTATTCTAGCAACATAAATATCCTATTTGGGATAGGAAGATAAATACATTCAACAAAAGATAAAGGTCATCAAAACAGATAATCTCATAATGAAATTGCTTACCTTTTGTAGCTCCCTCTATACCCAAAGGGTTTCAGCTTTGTACTAAGAAACTTACTATTAAATAGTGAATATAAACACTGAAAGGTAGTAATTCTTGAAGATACTGCAGAATTACTTCAGATTAAAATTTCATTCAACTTTTATCATTTGACATTTTTGTCATTCTTCAAGATTTTGATATAAAATACTTAAGCACACTTTCCTAAAAGTAGGCCTCTCAGAAATTAAAGAAGCATGTATAGATTATACTATTAAAGGTATGTGGTGTACCAAAATGTGTTATAAAATATCTATAAACTTAAAAGTATTTAAATTGAAATAGTGATGCTGCAGTTGAATTTAAAACGACAAGTGAACAGGATCACGATCTCCCTTTTCTTCGCAGTACTTCTGCCATAATTCACCCATTTCCACAGAACCAAATGGCCCTTTCCAGGAGCTAAGAGACTGCTTTTCGGAGTTCTATTGGCAAGCCCCCAACTCTACAGATACTTCCACTACATCATTTGTAGACATAACAATTCAATTAGTCTTAAAATGTCACAGTAACACTTTTTCTATTAACAGATTTCTATGAATACCATATCTCTTCAGAATCAAGAATATTAGAGCTTTAATCTGATATTTGCATTTTATTTTTCAAATAATTCTATATTAATTTTATTTATGAAAAAAACCCAGTGGAAAATATGAATGACAAAAAGTGTTAAAAAACTGCCATGTGTAATTACTTCAATCTTGTTTTGCTGCTGTTCTCATTTCAATTGTTAATTGAAAATTGAATTTTAATTATACTTTTTAAAGACATAAAGCAGAAACCCTGGAACACTGAATTGCTAACCTTTAGATTCTGACCAACAAGACTGTCAGCCAGAAAGCAAATAACAATAAGTCATTTTAAAACCATCATCTTCCTGTATGTGTGTCAATTTGTTCTGAACAAAAAGGACAGAACAGACACACAGCAGCAGGATTGAGTTATGTGACAGTACGGTTCCCCGAGCCCAGATGGAATATATTTCCTCATTTTCCTTTCGAACCATAATACTTATTCTGAATAGTAATAATAAAAAGACAATATTTCCATTTTCCAATTCACAGACAGAACTGAGGAATTTTAGTTCCACTAGCTCTCTGGAGGAGTTTTGATGTTTTTTAAAAACAAAAACAAAAAGAGATTTGATTCTTAAACACAAAATGTAGTCAGAAAAGATATTTTTTCCTGGAATGAATTAGTCTGCAAAAGAATTTAAAACTGAACCAAGGTCTTTTCCTCATATTTTATGATATAGTGGATTTGTATGAAGGACACATCCTTGCTAGCAGAGATTGATCTAGTAAACAAGTTCCAGCCCTGACATTTTATTTCTGGAACAGTTAACCTAGGTGAGTTCGTTTACATTTTCCTAATTTCTGGATTTCATTCCCAATAATGGTGTATCTTTTCTCCATTTTGAAGATGCTGATAAAGTAGAACTAAGTGACTACTATAAAATACTACCTACAATTAAATATTTGAGCTAACATTGCCATTCAGTTGCAGAATTCTGAATGAATTTTTAAAAATTTTCATATTAATTAAAACAAAATTAATGCACATGTGAAACAAAATCACCTGGGATGTTTCTAGTACAAAGGCTATGCTTTTAATTTATAGAAACTGAGAACGTAGGATCAGAGAAGCTAAAGAAAGACTATAAATCTGAAAAGCTGTACTTCAAATCAACAGCATTATACAATTCTAGTCTTCCCCTAAACCTGCGGCAACTTTGGGTATGGCCACCTGAGATAGTGGGGAAAAAATCCTAATAGGGAGCTCTACTGCTTACAATTAGTGGTGTCCACCAACTGTTTGATGGATTATACTGGGACACAGCAGGGCTTACAACTGACCAAGACTGATATGTAGCCATGTTTGGACACAGTTAACTTACATTTAATTGTAAAAGATTCATCAGTTGCCTTATTGAATTAAAATCAATTATTTTCTTAGTCTCCTGCACTAGTTATTCTTGACAGATTTTACCTCTTTTATTGACTATTTAATGTCTATAAAAATGGGGCTAACCTTATCTATCTATGCATCTCTGCATCTATCTATCTATCTATCTATCTATCTATCTATCTATCTATCTATCTATCTATCTATCTATCTATCTATCTATCT